ATTCCACAACTCTCCCCCCTCCCCCAGAGATGTCCCACCAGCGGCCCTGAGAAAGGGGTGAGAGGGCCCGTCAGCGTGACGGGACAAATCCCATACAAAGCCACTTCTAGGCTCTTGGAACCGCTTTTCCAGCTTCGGCCGCAGGGCCGGGGCCCGCTGTCGCTCTTCGGCATTAGGGAGGGGGGCGGAGTGAAGTGACAACGGATCTGGAGGAAGCAGGGGGGGGAGGGCACTGCCTTTGTATAGTGGGGAACAGGCCTGGCTAAAAGTGAAGTGAAGCAGGAACAGAGCGATCGCTCGCCATGTGGAGCGGCAAGAGACAGATGGCGGACAGAACCCGTATGACTTTTCTGGTGGCCCGGCCCGAGGCTGATCTGCTACTGACGGTTGGGGGGGAGGGGGGAAAAGGAAATCTGCGGTCAGATCTGTAGTGTTATGCACAGTGCAGCTCCTCCCATCCCAGCACAACGCAGGTCAGTGGGCGTCACCCACCACAGAAAGCGTGGCAGGTCAAGGCTGGCCAATCGCGGGACAGCGCTCCTCGGCCGATTACACCGTGGGTGCCGTGGCGCTCGTCTCGTGAGTCGGCGGAGTGTGTGGCTGGCCGCTGCTGTTGAAGGAGGTTTCCCTCGTGGAGTCTTCCTCCTCTTCCTCCTCTTCCTCCATGTTTGGCCATGATGTCTGGTCTTCTACGCGTTTCAGACGCTCGTTTAAAGCCTTCAACGCCAACTGCCTGAAGGATGAAAGAAGAAGATGGAACATCAGCCAAAGTCCTCAAAACACAAACAAATTCCAATTCTTTATGCGCCGGCTCTTCCATCGGTCCCTACGTCAGTCCAGGACACGGCCATGACGTAGGGACCGGCAGAAGGGAGCACAGGTCTTGGCGGAGGAGGTCCCAAATGCCAACGGTGGCCGTAACTTCTGAACAGAGCAAAGATCAGAGTCAATGCTTGCCGGACGGCCAAAGGTTTGTGGACTTCCTTCTCCATGATGGAGGTCAGGTGACATTCTAGACAATTGGGCTCTTCCAGCCTTGTGGTCACAGTTTGGTGAAGACCCTTTTCTGTTCCCCCCATGACTGTCCCCTGTGTACAGAGCTCCATACAGACATGGTGTCACCAGCTTGTGAAGACCACTCAAGTTCCTCCACACCAGAGCCCCGGACCTCAACTCCATGGAGCTTAGGAACACCTTATGGAACACACAGTAGATGTTCCATAGGAATGATTGAGTTCTGGTGTACAAAGCTCCATACAGACATGATGTGGCCAGCTTGGTGGAGGAACCCGAGTGTCCTGCACAGAGCCCCGGACCTCAACCCGACTGACCACCATTGGAATAAAAGGCAGTTGTCCCCTTCCAGCCTTGTGGTAACACTTTAGTGAAGGCCCTTTTTTCTGTTCCACCATAACTGTCCCCTGTGTACAATGGGTTCCTACACTTCAGGCTATGGCCAAAGTACATGGAGATCCCTCCAAATGATGGGGTTTAGGGGGTCTCCAATGAAGGTCATGTCCATCCTCCATCATACAAAGACATTGTAGACAATTGTCCTCTTCCAGCCTTGTGGTCACAGTTTGGTGAAACCCTTTTCTGTCCCCCTCCATGACTGTCCCCTGTGTACAAAGCTCCATACAGACATGGTGTCACCAGCTTGTGAAGGCCACTCAAGTTCCTCCACACCAGAGCCCCGACCTCAACCCCATGGAGCTCAGGAACACCTTATGGAACACACAGTAGATGTTCCACAGGAATGATTGAGTTCTGTTGTACAAAGCTCCATAAAGACATGATGTGGCCAGCTTGGTGGAGGAACCCGAGTGTCCCGCACAGAGCCCCGGACCTCAACCCTACTGACCACCATTGGGGTGAACTGAAACTTCAATTGTGAGCCCGTGTCTTCTCATCCAACATCAGCACCTGACCTCACAAATGGGACAAACGCATAGAGGGTGAATCTCTCCAAGTACGCATAGAGGGTGAATCTCTCCAAGTACGCATAGAGGGTGAATCTCTCCAAGTACGCATAGAGGGTGAATCTCTCCAAGTACGCATAGAGGGTGAATCTCTCCAAGGACGCATAGAGGGTGAATCTCTCCAAGTACGCATAGAGGGTGAATCTCTCCAAGTACGCATAGAGGGTGAATCTCTCCTTTGGAGCAGCGGTCCTAAAACCTTCACACTCCATTAAAAAATTGGTTTTAGACAATTCTGATAAGTATTAGCATTAAATTCTCTGCGAATCCTCAATGGGGGGCGGGGCATATGATCTCACGAATCTACAGCGCCCCCTGCAGACCGTGGTGATAAACTTCACTATTGGAAAATATCCCCAAATAATCCATTTTCACATTGTAACGTTTTTCGTCAAACTTAAAAAAAAAAATTGCAAATTTAGGGGTCTATTCACGAAGCTGCCGAAGGATCTAGCCGTAGCTTCGGCCCCAGGACCCCTTCGGTTCCGTAGAACCGAAGGGGTGCTGTACGGGCTATTCAGTATAACCCGTACAGCTCCCGAACGTGGCCGAGCCGAACGCATATGCCCCGGCTCGGCTGAGCCGCGCTGAGAGCCGAAAGCCTGCTTCTGACAGCTGGGCGGAGCCAGCCGCGATCTTACGGCTGGCTCCGGCCACTTGCAG